ATAATTTTATGTTAAAATAATAATGATCGTTATATGAAGGTTTAAGAACTTTAGTAAGCAAACTAATGATCTAAACAAGATCTTATTTAAAAAAAAAAAAAATTGTAGGTTTATAATTTTAAAATATAATAAAAAATATTAACATTAATAAATAGTATTTTTCTTTAAAACCTAAAAAAATATTACCTCATACACCTAGATAAGTAACTATTCTTAATAATTTTTATATGATAATTTATTCATGTATATAGGCTAACTACTCCCACCCACATTACCCACGTCTCCTCTCCTTCCACAGGAGGTTACAAATATTATTTACATATTATTTTCTCTCTCGTTACGATTGGAGTGTTTACAGAGGGTTGTATTTTTTAATTTATGGATTGGTCACAAGATGCAGAGAATAAAATGTCGTAGTGCACACAGATGAGATGGAGTGAGTCATTAGATCTGAATTTTACGCCGCCCTATAAAGAGAAGAGTTCTATGACAGACTGTCTGGACTTAAACTTACCACCAACCTCCGAATTACATGAGACAATTTTTCATTTACAGGTATTATTTTATTAATGAGCTATTTATATTTATAATTATATATAATTTAGTATATGCATAATTAATATATTTATAATTGTAAACTACTTTTTTTATCATATAATTTAGTATATATACAATGAATATATTTATAATTGCATTTTATGTTTTTGTGATAAAAAATTTAGAGCAGGGAGAACAAATAAAGGAAGAAGGGTTGAACACAAACATGGAGAAGCACGATAGGCTGTGGCTTGATTTGAATTGTCCACCCATTTATGAAGGATTCATATCCGATGCCCAAGAATATGAAAAATCTTGTCGAATGATGCCTGTGGATATTCAAATGTTGAAAATATTGATTCCACAGTTGTTCACGTCTAATGCGTTGTTTTTTATCTGATAGAAATGTTTGTTACTTATCTAATAGAAATGTTTGTTACGGTTTTTATGTGATAGATATGTTTGTTTGTTGTTTTTTATGACATGGAACGTTGATATGTAAATTGTGTGTAATAATGAATAATATTATATGGTTTGCCATTGTGTTCTTCATCTTAATTTATACGGTTATTCTTCTCTTATTTTGTAAATTGT